TGTCTATCCAGCACGGCTTGTCTTATCTCAGAGGCCAGGACTGTCTAGTAATGCTCAGATTGTAGGCTCTGCCGTCTTTTCCATGATCCCCAGTACATAGCCCGGGTTTGGAAGTGTAATCCAAAAAACTGAAGGGTCATGCACTCAATAAGAGCTGGTGTAACCGGTATGAACCAGGTTCTCCTGAGATGGGTGTCTGATCCTGGTGAAGCAGATGGTAGAGCTGGCAGCACCATTAATTTCTAAAGCTCAAGCCCTGCTGGTGTAGATTCTTGGAATCGGATTTCGGCTGAATTAAAGAAAGTACGGGGAATGTGACATTTCTTGCAGACCTCTGCTGTAAATTAAGATCCAGGCCTGCTCCATTTGTAAGGCAATGGGGAGTCAAGGGGAATTAATTCCTGATCTCTGAATGCCATCACCTGGGGTGCTGCAGAGGCTCATAAAGCACCCCTGTGAGTAATACCATTCAAAAAACTCTGAGAATGTGGTATGAGTTGCGGTCAGAGTTCCCAGACACAGGGGAGTTTGTATTTGCAAAAGGCAGACAGCCAGGAAGAGGGACTTAAGTTCCTCCGGAAGGGATATATTAAAACACCCCCCCCCCATCGTTGCATGCCAATACCATTATTATGTAATTGCTTGAGCTGTAAACTCATAAAACTTTTGTAGATCCAAAGGTTGTTTTGGAAATGTGCCTGCTTGATATGAGCCTAAAAGTCTGGAACCCAGTGACGGAGCAGGGAACAGTTAATGATTTCCATAAAAGTGCTTAGAATGCTATCTTCCTGAGTGTGGACTGGGAGGGCTCTCCTGGGTCAGGCAGCCCCTCCCATACTCCTCACTGTTTACCCTGGTCCATTGTACTGGAATTGAGGAGGCCCTCTCGGAATGGGAAAGTGGATCTGGTGAGGCTGAGGGTTGCTGTCTCAAAGACCAGGGTGATGGTCTGGACTGTGTAGACTGGGCTCCGTGTACCCCTTCTCCCCATAACTTCTGCAAGAGCTTCAGCACCTCATGTCTCACCTGGACACATCTAGCCTTCTAACATGGTTTTCTCTCTGTTCTCATCATGTTACTTCCTTGTTTACAAACATTTAATGGCTATTCCGTGGAAGACACCAAACCTTGTGTTCTTGCATTTAAGGCTTTGGGAGAGGGGTCCAGTCCAATGTCTCATCTTCCTTGGTGCTCTGTTCTCTGTGGCTGCACTTCCTTCTGTCAGGGCTGCCCTCCTGCAACTCCCCAATTCTCCGCTGTACTCCCTTAGGCCCGCCCCCTCTGCCTGGAATGCCCCACCCACCAGCCCTTCCCTCACCTTTAAGGATCATGTTTCATGTTATCTAATTTGAGGAATCTTGCCCTGCCAGGGCCAAGGCATCAGATGTACTTCAGTTTGAGATTCCCCTTTAGCACTTAGGCTCTGAAAGGTTAGGGGGTTTTCTTAGTTCTTCTGGCTTAATTTTCTCATGCATGGAATGAGTCAACTGCTTCCACCTGAGGGGGTGGGGATAAGTTAGGAATGGGCTAGCCATATTGTGAAGAATGCTCTATGCATGCTAGTCCTTAAGGAATGTGGCTGGCTATTCTGATTATTGGGGTCTTCTTTTTTCAAGTTTCACTTGCTTGGAGTCTCTCTTACATTCCATAAGACAATTATTGAATTTTGCATTTCAGATCTGAAGTACACATTTTATTTTCTCTCTTTAGAAGTCCCTGGAAGTGAGATAGCAGTTTCTGCTGACTTAGCCAGGACACTGCTCAATTGGGTCCTCGGCCAGGAGGTAGAAACCAACTTTTCCAGTGTTTATTCACTGACAACATTTTTTTAGTTTTCTGCCCCTTTTCCATCTAAAAGCTGAAAATGGATTCTATAACTCCATTTTCTTGGACAGGAGAATCTCCATTGGGCTTCCAGAGAGGGCAGTTTGTGAAGTGGCCAGCGAGAATTGGTACATTTCTATTAAGTCTTGGGAAACCTCATGCAACTTAAGGACACTTGTTCTCAACTCACTGGTTTTTCAACATGCATTCATTTGTTTTTCCAAAAAAGAAAAAAAAAAAGCTTCTCGGTCTAATGACTTTGGAAAACATTAGGTCCTAATGATCCCACTCACGGAGAGCCAGAAGACACGTTAACCAGCTAAAATGGGAAGAGGTCCTGCAGTAAAACCAGCCTGAGTTGCTGATGAGAGCTGACATTATCAAGCTGTCATGCCAGGTGCTCTGAGATAGACCCTCACACAGACTCTCCAAGGCAATCCTCAGAATGCCCTCAGAAGATGGATATATTGGCTCTTCTCATCTAAGGAGTGAAAACCCTGACATTTGAATGGCTCCAAGGTCACACATCAGGGTGAAGGCTGGGATTGATGTCAGACATCTACAAAGTTGGAACCCAATGCCCCGCTTCACTGTGATGCATAGCTTTCCACATTCCCAAAGCTGCTTGACCAAGCAATACGTTGAACTATGTATTATAGCCACGAAGCCAGTTTGCCTTGGAACTGGCTTTGGGAAACAGATTCACGACCCAAATCTGTCCCTGTTGGAGAGCTGAGGTGATCTTTATACCTCTGCCTTTGGCTTTCTTGTGGTAAGGGGCTCAGCCTCCGAAGTCTAGTTCAAAGGCCACTCCATAGGACTCTCTCTCAGACTGAAGCCGACGGTGGTACAAGGCATTTCTTTGTGTCCTTATGTTGTCTGCACCGCTGCTAACATTACCATTGCTTTTTAAGTTGCTAAAGTGCCTGGCACACAGTGGGGCCCTCCGGAAAGACTTGCTGACCAGGATGGAATTACTTCTGTAGCCCTTGGACCTTTGACTCCTAAGCCTGGCTTGTCACGTCTACACTACTGACTTGAGACCCATTCTATAGCCCACACTCTTGGCTACGCCTGGTTCACACAAAAGCAGGCCAGACAGGTAGCCGCTGTCTTCCTGGCAGTTCAGTAGTTAACATTCTCCTCTCCCCATTCCTGGATGAGGCTGCTTCTCTCTCCTAGATCCTCTAACAAGGACATAGTTAGGTCACCTTGGGTCTCTCTCATCAGGACCCCTTTGGAGACTGCTCTGACTGGTTGCTTCCAAGGCACTGTCCATGTCTCAAAAGCCATGTGACTGAGCCTCAGATGAGCCAGCTGGCTTGGGGATTTTTGTTAGCAACCCTAACTGATTTTGTTTTCATTTTCATGGGGTAGGAGGCAGGGGTAGGGGGGGGTGGGGGGGTGGGGGGGGAGAGTGTGGTGTGTGTGTGTGTGTGTGTGTGTGTGTATGTGTGCTTCTTGGGCTCTGGGGTGGGGCCTGGCAAGTTTGACTTCCAGAGACACAGCGGGCCTCTGTGGGAGCCCGTGATGGGAAACCACGTCATGCCATACTGCGCATTTTTAGGCCGCACCCATCCCCAGGGCCCACTCAGGCGCCATACAAGCGCTGGCCATCCAGCTCTCTAGCTGCCTGCGATGAGGTCATGGGTGGGGTACTGGAGACCCCCTCCAGATAGGGTGGGGGCTTCCTCTACTGTCCAGGGGTGGGCCGGAAGGACTGGGAAAGAGGCGGAGGTGATAGGTTTGCCTGTCTGACCTCCTGCTCCCTGGTAATGGTCTGTAGGCTGGTGTGGGTAGCGTAGAGGGAGAGAAAGAAAGCAGAGAGATAAGGAATAGAGAAGTCTATGGATTGACAGACACGGGCTACTTACCCCATTTAGCAGTTATGGGTAAGGGGAGGTAGCTAACAAACGGTGTTCCTTTACCACCTTGCCAGGAGCAAATAGTCACCTCCTTGCTTTTATACAGCAATGCCTTTACTCTGACCTTAATCAACAAGACCTCAAGGCAAGGGAAGCCAGAGCAGTCCTCATTATGTAACTAGACTTTGACACAGGAGGAAAAAACAACAAGAAGGTAGAGGCTTTCTTAGCCGGAGACAGTGACTGCCGTAATAGCTCCCGTTCCCTCCCAGGCCTTACTGCCTTGATTGCTAATCTTTCTACACCAGTGGGTCTTGCAGACTGAGGTTTCTTCCATATTCCAACCACCTAAGCTCACTCAAACCCACAGTTCTTTAACCTCTACCCGAGAGCGCATACATATGTGTGCGCATGGAGCAATCAACGCAGGGCTCTGCTGAAACTTTTAGCCTGCAGGGTCCATCTTCTGATCTCAGTGAATAGCTGGGGCATGGGGAGTGGGGGCGGGGTTGCACCTGGAATTCTGCCTTGAAAAACAGGAACTCACTGACAACAGAGTGTTGCTCCAGGAAATAGAAAGATGCACAGAAAGTTCACAACCCTCCACCCCAAGATGCTTCGCAGAAAACCAATGCATAGACAAAACCCCTGAGAGCTATCGGAAGGCACACTTGAAAAGTCAGTCACCCTGCGCAGATAACACCACCCTCAGCCGACTTTGACTTAAGCTAAAAATGCCATGTCACGTTCAACTGTTTTCTTTTGTTTATTTTTCCCCTCTAGGGAGATAAAGTTAATATTAGTAATATATTCCCAGCTTCTTACAAGAAACAGTCAAATGGTATCCTTAAATGTAGAAAACGTATTCCGTAAAACAATTACAGTAACCACGACCGAGAGACATTTTAGAATGTTACCACAGTCTATGAGAAGGTTTTCTGAGTTCTAAGACGCTCAGCTCTGGGAGGGAAGTTGCATACAAACAGATACTGAGATCTTGACTGTACATTAGCCCACTGCCCACTGGACAGCCTATGCTGAAAATCCGGGGGTTTCAGAGAAGCCCTCCCACCTTTTCTAAGAGAAACAGCATTTCCATACAGAGACGCTTACCACATCAAGCGGAATAGAAAGTAGGAGAGATACCGCTGCTGAGGCTTTCCATCCTCTGATTTATCATTTGTTGACACTCTATCCACACGTCCCCCCATCTCCTTACAAGTAGCTGTCTGTGGTTCTTCCTGCAAGTATTTTGATAAAGTCTAAACAGAAGAGGAAAAGAGAAAGACTGTAGGGAAAACCATAGCTTACCTTTCCTGGGCATTGCTGGGTTCAGACTTCTCCCCCAAACATGAGACTTCTTCGCTTTGGTTCTCCCATGAATTTAGAAACCATTAAAAAGTATTCAGAGCAGAACTGTGTTCACTATTGAAGCTGCTCCACAACAATGCAGAGAAGTCTGTTGGTGGAAAGTAGAGGATGTGTGCGAAGCTCGGAGCTCATGCTGTCGGATGAAGTTCTGCAACCGTCTTTCTCAGTTTAAACAGCCTCCCACTCCTTCTCCCAGGCACTTGCCAACTTCTATAATTTAAAGCAACTGCGATCCTTCCCATAATACTCACATTTCAAAGAGTTTACTATATACACTCGTTAGTCATGAGGAGGAGTGGGCAAGGTTCTTCTGCAAACCCCAGATGGAGGCAGATGCAAAGCGAGGGTCTCAGGTATCCGGAGGATTTTTCCATCCCTCTGCATCCATTGCTGTTTGTACCACGTGGATTTTTCGTATTGCTGTAGCCTTTAAAGTGATATCTAGATACCGACTGGCATCATTTCCCTGAAGCAACGAAAGCACTCTGGAAAGTTTATGCAGCAAACCTAGGAAAGGGGGCTAAACCAGTGGAATCGTGTCCACACAGCACTTTTCTTAGCAGGATTGTTTCTCTGTGACTTGTCCTTAACTGTTGCACCCAATGTTTTCCTGAAACAGGGAAAAACTTAAAATGATGTTATTTGCACTGGTCTTGTTTAAGCATTATTCCACATGTGTATCATAAATCTAGGAAGGACACGTACTTTGCAAATTATGTCTGTGTAATTAAATAAATCTTCTAATATTTTAGCCTGTAATCAGAATAAATCTTCTGGCATTTTAATTGGTGAATGTGTTGTACATTTTACTATCCATTTCTTCCCACTGTCAACACACATACACACGTGAGTTAAAATTATAGCTAACTTTTAAAGCATTGTTTAAATGTTGATTTAAAAATATTTTATTATATACATCAAAATACACCTTGTTTAGTGCCTGCTAAGTAACCTGTGCTCAGTAAGTACTGAATGGAGTAATGCTTATGTTTTTATCAATCAACAGTTTGTGTCAATTTTGATTTGCATGCACAATCTCCTTCAAATCGGTCAATAGGTCACCGTTTCTGTAGAAATCAAAATAGGCCAATGTATGGCTTTGACAAACAATGAATAGCTTGCAATAAAATCCCCTCAATGAATAGAAAACATCGGTTAGACAAATAAACCATTGAAGAACGACTGGAAACATCGGCATGGACACATTCCACAAAATATGTTCACTGCACAGAATTATTCAAAAAAGTTCTGGCATAGAACATCATTATTTCAAAGGCTATCAATCCCTCCCTTGTATTTTAGAGTTCATTCAAGTAACTATTACACAATAGGTAGCTTTTAAAATATTTTATACTATAAATAATAAGTACTAACAGAAATGACCTAAGCCTACAAGGAAATAAACAGGCTTTAAGTTTTCTATGCGGAGAAGCAGAGGAATGATGGTCCTCCTTTGCTTGGGTTTCTGCTGAGGAATGGTCTCCAGGCATGGTGGACAGTGTGGGGAACTGAACTCATAGGCTGGAGCCACATTCCCTGTAATCCTGAATGTGTGGCCTTATTTTTAAAAAGTGTAATTATGAAAGTGTAAATACAAATGTTTCAAAAACAATGTATTTGTATATATGCATATCATAAAGCATTTATTTAATAGATATTAATCAGGTGCCTTTCTATGTGTTAGGAATTTAGTAAGTCCTCTTATGATGTTTACCACAGAAGCTAGCATGACCATCCTGATCAATGCCAAAATTGGTGATAGACATGGATGCTGCTCTATCAAAACTCTTAATCCAGTGTTATTAGATGGCAATAGGTGAGTGTGAGGAGCTGGATGCGGGCCTAGAAAGGCAACAATCCATGACTGAGTGGCAAAACCTTTGGTGATCTTGATAGCAACAGTAACTTGAAAGGTAATGTTATAGCTCTAGAGGAAAGGGATGGGAAAAGACACACATCATGTGGCGGCCACTGTTGGTTGCAGTTGGCAAGGTGTTTTGAGAATGAGACTATGCCAGAAAAGAAATGGTCAAGTTTTAAACCCTAGTGAAAGGGGAAAGGGGGATAGCATGAGGGGACCCCATTTTATGGCTTGAAAGAGCCTATCAATATCTTGATGGGCCTGTTACCAAATTATATTGCTTGCAATTCTGTAAGTCTATACTCAGAATGTCTTTCAAGGATGAAAACAATTTCTTTTACTGGCAAGATGCAAAGAAATGCAGGCTTATGTGAAGGCACACTCCCCAATACTCACCTCTCTGACCAAGGAAAAAACTGAAACTGGGGGGCTATCAGGAGGAAGTGATGATAGCAGCAGAGAGCAATGAACATAAGAATTTCCCAGTGGGCAAATCCAAGACTCTCTTTGGCCCATGAAGGGGCAGGGCCCATACTAGCTGCCTGGATAGACTAGGGACCAGTAATTGCTGCCTCTGATCTCACCCTTTTGTGAATGAGAATTTTGTGAATGAGAATAGTGGTTATCTTTTTGCTGCTGTACCTTTTGTATGGTGTGTGTGTGTGTGTGTGTGTGTGTGTGTGTGTGTGTGTGTGTGTGTGTGAGAGAGAGAGAGAGAGAGAGAGAGAGAGAGAGAGAGAGAGAGAAAGACAGAGACACACACACAAAGACAGAGACATAAATAGAAAGAGGTGGGGAAGGATTTGTCAATTTTGTTTATAGACTTCTATTTAAGTGTCTAGATTGCTAGATTAAAACATGGACCAAACAAAATGTGTGGAGAGAAATTGACATGCAGGAAGTAAGGCCCTTGATCTAAATGTAGTTATCAGACAGAATTCTAGACATATTTAATATATACCTCTTGATGAGGCTGGAGAAAGATGTATACCTATGAAGCCATAACCACAATCTACATAATAATAATAATAATAATAATAATAATAATAATAATAATAAATAAGAATCTTTTCCAAAAGTTTTCTCTTGTCTAATCTATCCTCTATTATATATCAATTTATCTATTATGTTTATTTATTTGTATCTATTCATTTATTATGTCTATCACCTATCTATCTATCTATCTTTAATTTCATTAATCCATTTTATTCTCTCAACAGTCTACTAATATAATTGTAGCTGGAGTTTTCTGTCCGGGTCCCCCCAAGCCCTGGCAGTCCGACAGCCCACTTATAAAATAAACACACAGACTCTTATATTATTTAAACTGTTTGGCCTAATGGCTCAGGCTTCTAGCTATCTAGTTCTTACATCTTAAATTAACCCATTTCTATAAATCTATACCTTGCCACATGACTCGTGGATTACCAGTATCTTACATGTTGGTACTCATGGCGGCAGCTGGCAGCGTCTCCTGACATAGCCTTCCTGTTCCCAGAATTCTCTTCTCTGTTTGTCCCGCCTATACTTCCTGCCTGGCTACTGGCCAATCAGCAATTTATTTATACAGAGTGATATTCACAGCATATAATCTTTCTATGGTTGGACAACTTGAAGCACAGAGAGGTTAAGTGACTAGCTCATGGTCACAGAGCTAGGGATTTGCAGCTAGAGTGTCTGGTTCGACCAATCTGTCTAAACTCTTACATGCTGCTGAAAAGTTTTCTCCAGGGCAAGTGAAGAGAACCTTTCTAGGCCATCCATCCCCTGAGCCTGATTGCTGGGCAGGTATTTGACATAAGTTCTGGTTTCTTCTGAAAGCTTTTCTAAAACACAGCAGGTTGTTTTTAACTTAGAAAGCGTTCCTGCCCCTCTCTGAATGTGATTATAACGTTGAGCCATTTTTCATGTATTAAGCTTTGAGCTATTATGGCTAACTTTGATTATTTTCAGCTTGTGTGCTGCAGCCAGCTAAGTTTCAAGTTATAGCTTGAAACCCAGTGGCTTCACCTGGATTTCCTAATAAATTTCTGCTGAGTTCTATCAATCACACATGACATGAAGAAAGAGGCTGGGGGGAGGTACAGATCTTGTCAGGAAGTGCCACCTTCCCTTGGGACGATGTTAAGTTTGGAAATCGGAGATGAGCTACACCACAATCTGCGTTTACGGTGGTGGAGAAAGACCAGTCCCAGGGTCAAGGCGTAGACTCTCAGGAGGGGTGACCCCTCCTCCATGTCGGGCTATACACAGAGGCTGACATAATGCTCTCTGCTCTTGGGCACTGGGGACACGGAAGGGGCCACAGTCATCTCTGGGGTTTGCAGACTCTCACTCTCCCTTTGTGGATTTTGATCTTGATGAGTACTGTGGTCTAAATCTGGAATGATCCCAAAAGACTTACTTGCTACATTTATCCTCAAGATAGTACTATAGGGTGATGGTGGGATCTTTACAGGGTTTAGCCTCCTGTGCGAACTTTAGGGTTTTGATGGCAGGTCCTCCCCTGCCCAAGGAAACTATGGTATCTAGACCTTCCTCTCTCACTTCACTTCTTAGCTATGAAGTGAAGAGTTCTGCTATACCACATGTGCCTCCTATCTTGCTGAGGGCCTCCCCAAAATTGTGCCAATCAGGCATGGAGGGAAACTTCCCAAACTGTGACACAAAATAACCTATTATTTTTGTAAGTTTATTAACTCAAGTACTTTGTTACAGTAATGGAAACCTGACTGTTAGAGAGAACTAATGTGAAGGCACCTATTCACTGTCCTGGTGACTAAGGGTAACAACAGATCAGCTTATTGTAGAGTCAAAACAATAGACTAAGAATAGATAAAATTGTTTTGTAGGCTGTAAGACAACATTTTGGGGAGAAAGCTTGAGGATATTCTAATTAATCCCTTCACTCTACTCATGGTTATCAGCACAGTCTTGGCAAGTGTCCACATTATTTCTATTTAACTTTTCTCAGGGAAAGGAGTCACGATGTCACAAAGCATCAATACATTTCTCCAAGCAGCATCAAATATGCCTGCCCTCTTTCTCACATATGAAGAGCTTTCAAATACACTGAAGTAACTCTTAGCCTTCTCTTCCCACCAACTACCTCTTTCCTCAAGTCTAATGAGTCTGGCTTTTGCATCTGTTCTCCAAGAAACATGATTCATTTAGGCTGTCAGTTTGCTTGGCTACCCTCCAGTGAGCAAATATCCAATTAATGGCTAAATGTCTCTTGAGGAGTATGGTAAGGTGACCTAAGAATCAACATTTGAGTTACAGTTCACTCTGCTCTCAGCCTTGAGAAGGCACTCTCCCATCCCTGGCCTCAGAATATGTGGTCAGATTAATCACTCTGAGGCATCCTTATCCAGAATCGTTTTCCCTAGTTAATTATTCACTGTTTAGAATGGACAGTAGCATCCCACCCTCTGGGTGGCATGGTTCTTTTCTGGTGTCTATTGGCTCTCACTTCCTGGAAATAGTGCAATCCTCAGGTTTAATATTTCAAGCTAAACTATCTTCCCTTAAATCCACTCCTCCACAGGGGCATTGATGTGGTATTGATATGTCATTAACAGCACAAT